GTGACGAGTTTCGATTTTGTTTAGGCATGCACGATGGTCGTGCCAGGGTTAGAAGGCGACGTGGTGAAAGGAGGAATCCACAGTTTTTTGTTGAAAGACATGTTCATCACACTGTTGGAGTTATGGTTTGGAGTGCTATAGCTTATGGTTCCAGGTCACCTTTAATCTTCATCAGAGGTAACATGAACGCGCAGCGTTATATCCACGAAGTTCTAGAACCCCATCTTTTACCCTATCTTGACACCCTGGCAGATCGAACTTTCCAACAAGATAATGCCTGACCACATGTTGCAAGAGTCACAATAGACTTCTTTCAACATAATGATGTCACATTGTTACCATGGCCACCAAGATCTCCCGACTTATCCCCAATTGAGCACGTGTGGGATATGATGGGTAGGAGATTGCTCAATTTGCAACGTCCTCCTCAGACTCTAGAAGCACTTCGAGAGGAGTTGGTGGTTGCCTGGAATGAGATACCACAGGCGTAGCAGATCAGGGTGCATCCACACATTATTAAAGATCAAAGGGCTTTAAAGCAGTGCAATCATTTTGAAATTTTTATCATTTACTTATTATGCTTCATTAAGTACTTATACAAAATTTTACTAAAATAAAACCATTTAAACTGGGTGTTCGGATTTATATGTCACTTAGTATATAATAAAATATACCTATAAAAAGGAGTATTGGATTTTTTTTTTTGGTAAAATAGATGATCCTTCTATGAAAATGGATATTTAATCTTTTTACTATATCAAAAAGTTGCTACTGGCGGTATTCTAATCATGAACATTTTTAAAAATGAGGTATTAGGTATTGGAGAGCCTATTTCTTGTTTGAGTTATTGTTGAATCTACTTTGAAAGTAAACGCTCTGCTCGTACGACAGGTAATCGCGCCTCGCACTGTGATCAAAAGTAAATTGTAAATTCAGACCAGCCAAAATCATTTCAGTATACAAAACCGATCAAAATTATTTTTGGGAGTTACAAAATAATTCGAGTAGCCAAAGCAATAAGCTATTTCAAATGATTTACTTCTTTTCTTTGCTCTATTTCTTCCTTCCTTTCTTTCCTTCTTTCCCTTTTCCGCTTAAACAAGTTTCGTATCTGGGTAGCCAGAGCTGACAGACCAACAGACTGACGAGACTTTTAACTAAGAACAAAGGTCCACCGGACCGCTCTGACGAATAATGACGAATAGTACTTACTTGAGATGTATGCTTCTTCCCGACAATTACATATATGCAAGCTGGCATGGATTTTAAAATAAAACCTTAGATATAGCATTGATCATATTCTGTCTTCAGAAAGGACATCACCCGTCTGGCGCAGGTAATAGATATACTTACTTCATGGACAGCATGTTTAGTAATAATTTTCTCATATATATATATATATATATATATAGCTTCCTCCTTTTGTTGGGTACTTCGACAATTACCCAACAAAAGGCGGAAGCTTTAATTTTTAACCTAACTGGTCTAGACGACAATGACCACGTCTCAAGTTATATATATATATATATATATATATTATAGGTCAGACCTCCAGATCTCTTAAAGGAAGGATTACATCACGCAAAAGTGATTCTAGGCTTCATCCTGAAAGATGCGCTCTAGCATCTCATGTTAACACAACAGGGCACTCTATGAATTACACAAGTATCAAAGTTCTTGATAAAGAAAAACACCTATCCAAACGTTTATTCCTGGAAATGTCCCACATTTTCATGAATAACAACTGTATCAACAAAAAGACAGATGTTAAGCAACTGAGTGTCATTTACTCATATTTGCTAAACTGCGAAAAATTGGAGCACTTACATATCTCACCAAATTTTGACTCTTCACAACCATAAATGGAATCTGCTTCTTGGTCTATTCCACCAATAAACTTCATTCCACTCAAATTCTAATAATTTTCTCCTCTCGATTTAATAATAATTGTTAATTTAATTGCCCATTAATTAAAATATAGTTAATTCAACTGCCTCTGGTCGGTTTAACAATTTCTTACATAACACATTCTGAAAATCACATCATCTGAAGTGATTTGGCTACGTAGCACACGCCCACAATTCGTTCCATCTTTCTACACAGACATTGACAACCTTCGGCCTTCTGTCAAAGGGTTCATCTCACTCATTATTCCATGTCCACCATTTTGTGCAATCATCAAGTGGCTTCACGATGTAATGCTTTCATGTTCTAAAAATTTTAAATCTGTTTTTAACTTGTTCTTGTCACACAGTTGTGTGTATTTTATATAATTTTGACCATTGTACCATCTATCCAGCTTTCACCATGTTACTGGGTGTTTCCCTCATCCTGAACGTAAACAACAATTAGCAACATCCTGACATACTACTGTAAGTCAAGTCAATTTAAATTCATTTTACACTATTGTTGCTACTGTTATCAATGTAATTGCAGCTCCTGATGATGATGGCAAAGTCCATTGAAAGCTAGAGAGAATAAAAAAAGTATAAAGTCCTCTTTGCTTAATTTTTTGTCGAAGTACCCAACAAAAGGCGGAAGCTTTAATGTTTCACCTATACATATATATACAGGGTGACTTTGAAGTTGAGTCATTAATTTTCAGGTAATGATTGTAGAAGGAAGATAAACCAAAATATGTGTGTAAAAATAAAAAAAAATCAAAAAAAAAAATGTTACCTTGTTTTATAAATTATCCTCCCGACAAGTATTTCAGTGCGGACCTGTATTTGATCGTGAGGTCCCCTGTGAGGTCTTAAGTCACCTGATTCACGAGCCCTTTGTACTATATTAACAAAGGCACGAGGGGTTGGTTGCACTCGATTGGGAAACCGATTCGCACAAATCTGTGATGCCGCGGCAGCATTTTGTAAAGACTCCCCCCCGTAAATAAGAATCATGTCCACAAGTTCAGCATTTTCGTAAACATGTGCCATTTTTCATTTCGTTTGAGTCACGCAACAAACACCACTATTCACTCACGCGTTACCGACTGACGAAAAACATCGTGATAAACGTTTAAAATTCTTTCGCTTTTTTGTTTCTGATGCGATGAACCGATAAGGCGGATTATATCCGTTGTTGCCAAACACGAGCACATAATATTATTATTGAGACAGGGCGGTACTCAAACTTCTAAAGGGCTATAACTTTGTTACTTTAATTTTACCAGAACAATGTTAAAGGAAAAAAACATTTTTTTGATCAGATCTACTCACTGTTAAAATAAATGACTCAACTTCGAAGTATATATATACATATTTTGCCCGATTTATATACATGCAGACCTATACACACAATCATCCAGATGCAATCTTGCTACTCCGTTTCTCGAACCATTTTTCTTCCTGTCACATCTTCTCGGAGATATACTCTACAGACTATTTTCTCACTCCCCAGCCAACGAAGCATGCTTGCGAACTGACTTGCAGCATGGTCGTTGAGTCATTCCTTCATAGGTGACGCTATGGGTGATTCCCACAGCGCTCATAGCGAGCAAGAGCGGGTTGAAATATTTGCACACTAGGAGCTATCTAGTCAGCATGTTGACATTTTGTCGGTTTTTTGACATTATACAGGTTTTTTACGTAATAACCCTGCCGCACGGGTATTATGTAAAAAACATATAAAATGTCAAAAAAACCTATAGAATGTCATATTGCAGACTAGGTAGTTTTTAGGGTGCGAACAGTCATTCGAGGTTTGCTCACTAGGATCGTTGTGAGCGTCCATCTATGGAGGAATGGCTCAACTACACGCATTGTTCGTTGCATATGCTTTGTGAAGCCGAGTTGTCTGTAGTTTTCATCTCTGAGAAGGAAGCTGGTTGAATAGCAAGATCGCATCTGGATGATAATGTGTATTGATCTGCATGTGTATAAAATCATTGATATTTGCTGTGTGAGAAAACCCTTATACTGAATATGCTGCCTATGAAGTATATCTATTAGCTGTGCCCGACGGGTTATTTATATGTTATCGTTTCTGAAGACAGGTTATGTTCAAGGTCATAAATTAAACTTTTGCGTTTTTTTTTTGGTGTTTTCAAAAAGTTTGAAGAGAATTACGGGAAATCACGACCGCGCCTGCGTTGTGTGTTATTACCGTTAGCATGTATTTGACTCGTAATTCGACAGTGTACAGTGGGTATAATTATTTCTTATCTCTCTCATTTTTGTAATTCAGCAAATTTGCATATGTAATTTCCAGAATGACGCGCAACTAATTTCTAGCTTTAAATCTCAAGTAAGTGTATTCGAGACAAGAATCCAGTGGAATTATCATCGACACATTAACACATTAATCCTCACGATGCACCCATGCGTTGCCGTTTCCTTCTAGCTATAGTATACAACTTACAGCTTAGACCTTTAGACCTTTATAAAAAATTTAATGCTATGCCGACTGGACTATGATTTCATCTCAGTCCCGCGCTCACTGTCCACAGCTCGACTGTGTCTGTAGACTCCACTGGGCTAGACTGCTTTCGCCATCCGGTTGGGTATTTATTTGCCTATCGACGAGTCAAGAACCATCTTAGCGTTTGTCAGGCCAAGTCATGAACTTCCATGGAAGGGGTCTGGCGTCGCGAATCTTTTAACTGATGTAAGAGAGTGTCTCTCGCTAGTAGCCAGAGTTCCAGTTATACGACGCCGTTACAACAGGAACAGTGTCTGAGCCAAGACCGATACGCTTCGACATTGTTGACAATGAACCGGTGCCATCCCTATACTGAACACTCTGTACATAAGGCGTCTCATTTAAAAAATATAACCTATTTATATGGCTTTATATCGTAATACTAAATAATACACGATCATCAATTCTGTACATGCTTGAAAGGGTGCAGCTACAAGACCATCGAGTCGGTCTTATCCTGAAGTTTATTTTTATACAATGTAAGAAAGTTTCTCCAGCAGTCGCTTTAACTGACGAGCTAGAATTTTGTTTCATGTTGGTAGCCAGTGGAACTTATTGCTGATAGAGCGATTTATTTTCAGATGACGACAGCGGGGAAAAATCAGTTTCCGTCCTTTTAGCTGGAGAAGAGTCAGAGCTATGCTTCATAGATTTCGCTTCGTCAGATTTATCGGTAAGTATTATAAATTTAGCATTATACAGGGTGGTGTTACAGAATGTTACCCAGAAAATTTCCATGACACGAGCTGTCTAAGCTTTATATTTAGCGAGAAAATGTAGGCTATTGGTTCTCTGCGGCTTAAACGGGACCAGGTACATACAGAGTGACTTTGGATTCCGTTTGAGCGAGCCTAAATATACGTACGTACGATAGGGGTTATTTGGGCCGCAGTTAAGACATTTAAATTTTTAGTGACTAGAATCATTACATAAAGCGTCAACAATAGGTGAGTCGAGAATGTGGGTCTAACTATGCTTGTAGTACGTACTTTGAGTAGCTGAACTCGAATTCGGGGTCCATTCAGCCCAGCAATGTTCCGCTTCGAGAATTCTATTTATCAGAAAATACCAATAAAACGTTTTCAAAGAGTGTGCGCGACGCGACTATGATATTGATGGAAGCTTGTTTCCCCAGTAAATCCGGTGCGAGGATTCTGAATTTAGCACCAGGATTCGCGGGTGGTCCCGTGTGACTTGTTATTTACCGATGTTTACCTAGATTTGGCACCACGGTACGTTAGAATGCCTACATAATGATATTCAAATTAGGCGCCCCAGATTACCTGATTATACAGACCTTCGTTGGCATGCAGTTACCGATAATGAAAATAGACTTTTAACACCTCAAAGTCGCACAGATTTACAATGTTTACTTTTAATCTTACAAATTAAATTAAAATTATATATTATACATGGTGGCGCATCTAAAACGAAACAGACGCATTTAATGGCAGCTTAGTTTCTTTTTGGAAAAACGTTCAGACCCGTCGATTTTGTTTTCGAGGGGGCACAAGTTTGGCAAAAATCACGTTAACACGTGCAGCCCCCTGGGCGGGGGTGACACCAACCCTAAAATCTTGAATGAAAAGGGGGGTCGAGTGATACCTTATTTTAAAGGTCTTTCAATTCCCTTTATAATGATGTAAAATACATGAGCTTCGGTTCAGTAGTTTTGAAGATTTATTGATTTAAAGCTTAAAGTAGACTTTAACAGGTACATCAGATTAGTTTGTACTACTTTCAGAAGAAATTTAACTAAAAGAATTTACTTAATAAGTAAATGCTTTTCTTCACTACGCCCATGGTTTGTTTATCATTTTGTTGTTGAAAATAGCTATTGGAGCGTTTTTTTGTGGCAAAAAAGTTATTTCTTGAAGAAAGATCAGGAAATATCTCGTACTTATTTTAAATAGGAATTTAGTACATATTTTGCGATTGATTTGACCAAACTTTGTTGCTAAAATAACTTGTAACGCTTTATTACATACATTGTCCAAGGTATATTCTACAGCAGAAAGAGTTGAAATTATCGAAATATTTTTCGGAAATAATCAGTGCGCTAACAGCAGTAATATTTAATGAGCGACATGAGAACAGTAACGTGCATCGAAAATATGTTCCAGAACTTGTAGCTAAATTTCTGGAAACTGGGTCAGTCGCCAATAAAAAACGCAACATTGAAAATCCCATAAGGAATGAAGCAATAGAAGTGGGGGTTTTAGGGCAAGTTTATGTAGATCCTACGTTAAGTACCCGCAAATTGGAGACTGTGTGTGGTGTTAGTCGACGTACTGTCCAACGGATTCTAAAGGCCCATAGTTTTCATCTATATATAATTCACCTGGTACAAGAACTTAATGAAGATGATTTTGATCGGCGATTACAATTTTGTGAAGATATGAGTGAACGAATTATAAACGATAAACATTTGCTTTTCCGACGAATGTTCCTTTTTCTTAAATGGCGTAGTAAATCGTCATAACTGCCGATATTGGTACTATTCTAATCCCAGAATTTATCATGAGGTTCATACACAGCAGCCACAAAAATTAAATGTTTGGGCTAGTATTTTTGGCGATCATTTAGTTGGTCCTTTTTTCCTGGAAATTTGACCGGTGAAATGTATTTGGAATTACTGGAAGACGCCATAGATCCTGCATTAACAGCCATAACTGAAAATCAGAATGATCGGCGGTACATTGCGAATAGGTTGATGTTCCAACAGGATGGTGCCCCACCACATTACGCATTACGTATTCGACAATATTTAGATCAGACGTTTCCAGATCAATGGATTCGTAGAAGAGGTGCCATTGAATGACTCCCGCCAAATGTATCGATCTCCGCTAATGATGATGCATTAGTTTTATTTAAGCTTTAAATCAATATATCTTCAAAACTACTGAACTGAAGTACATTAATTTTATATCATTATAAAGGGAATTGAAAGACCTTTAAAATAAGGTATCACTCGGCCCTTCTTTCCATTTAAGATTTTGGGGGTGGTGTCACCCCCGCTTAGGGGGCTGCACGTGCTAACGTGATTTTTTGCCAAACTTGTGTCCCCCTCGAAAACAAAATCGACAGGTCTGAGCGTTTTTACAAAAAAAAAACTGAGCTGCCAGTAAATGCGTCTGTTTCGTTTTCAATGCTCCACCCTGTATAATAAAACTATATTATAATCTAAATAATAGGATGTACATCATAATCGGGATCAGACTCACTCAGAATAGCTTCAAAATCAGTTTTAGTGACCCCAAATACTTACTATAGATGTTATTAGGACCGCAAACATTTTAATTTTCAATGTAAGTTGATAATTTGAGCCCAATCTTCATATTTTGTTTTGCGGTTGCCGAAACCGAATCCGGCGCGTGCGATCTGGAAATGTTCCGTTTTCGAAATATTGACAAGAATTATATTTACTAGAAAATAAATAGTTGCGCATCTGTGATCTGGTTGGTGCCCTCGTGTAGCAGCTCAGCAGCTCCAACCTTACGTTAGTGAGATAATTTCACACCTAGTGCTGAGTTTTGCCGGGTTGTGATGATTTTGATAGAAATCGGCCTCCACTGGGGAATTTTGTTAACGGGCCCCTTTTCTCACCCTCTTGGGGACTTAGCCGTTATTACAGCTACACTCAAACCATCGAGCTGAGGGGAATTATCTGCATTAACACTCCGAAACGGTCTATAAGTAGGACTCACGTCTACGAGGAGCAGTCCCCATTTCCAAGAACCATCATTGTTCGAGCTTTCTACCTTACAGTTGGTTAGCCTTTCGTTCGAGAGACTCCCTTCTCTTGTGTGGGAATGAATTCCACCATTCTGTTATAGCAAGCACCTACCAAGGTGATTTTTTTTAATTTAAATTTTAGCTGGAAACCATTTAGCTGGGGGATAGTATCAACTAATTTCCTCTTGTTTGTCTCCCAGGACTTTTGAAAATTTTTTTGTTCAATAAATTTTTGCGAGCCTTGTGATTTTTTTTTCTTTCAGCTCCAGAGGCCCATCATTTGGCAGTCAGTTCATGTTTTGATAGGTCGAAAGGCTTTACTTGTTATTTCCTTTTCATGTATAGTTTTTGGAACTAGGTGGCGCCCAAGCCTCATCCATTTGTATGGAAGACCAAAGTACAAAGAACCACACTCTGAGGTCACATTATCTACAGGGTTAGTTATATTTTTCCCCAAATGATAGAAATAAAGACAGGGTAAGACAGTTAAGCGGGATAACAATGTAATACTCAAAAGATACTGCTTTTGTTCGTCTGACCACAGACCGCGAACAACAGCTGTTTCGTGCTTTTTGCAACTGATCACCAGCAAAGCCTAGATCATCAATTCTGATAATAGATGGCGCTGTGTGCTGTCTTATTTCGGTATAATGCTCTGCCACTAGCTGCGCAATGGCGAACTATTGAAAGCTCATGACACTTTCAGAAGACCACAGTATAAAAAACCTTCTTATCAAAATGTGCTTTAACAGATCTGCGAACTCATTTGAAAACTATAGAAATGAGGTCTGAAATGTTGCTTTTTTGTAGCCTGATAGCTGTATAAGGAAATACACCGACCCGCATGCCTACTGCGTCGTATACAGCAGTGCCGATAGGTCGAGCTTGGAGATAGCTGAGAACATATTGCAGAATCTTTGGACGCTGGATACAATCAGCACAAGAGCAGTAATTTTGGTTGCGAACAAAGCTGACCTGGTGAGGTCAAGAGTAGTAACGACAGAGGGTAAGTAGCTTTGCAGATTTGCTTTTATCAACTGCATTGGATTGATACGAGTATTAACCACGAATCAACGAAATAACGAAAAATCGGGTTTCATCAATTGCCATGTTCAATAACATAAAAACGCTAATATATTTCTTCGATGACTCTTCTCCAATAGACCCTTTCGCGTCGGCGGGCCGTCCGCGATCTGGCTCTCTTCTACCGCTACACCAACGGGTTCTGGTCGTCAGAGCGATGAGCCTGCCAGACAGACCCGCCTGACTTTGGCCTCCCATCCTAACCGGATAGAACTCCGTATATCCAGAACTGGCCGATACGACGGCTCCTTTGTTCCGAGGGTGTCGAGCCTATAGAGCAATCTACAAGATAAAGCTTTTCCCAGTTTTACTAACGTTAGACAGTTCAAAAATCGGATTAACAAAATTTCATTGGGATCCTCATAACAGGCGCGGTGTCCTGGCATTCAGCCTTCTGCCTGCGCAGCTGCTTCGGTATAAAAAAAAAGGTTTTGAACGTCTCGTTGACTTGATCTGGAGTAATCCATTATGAAAAGAGGAGTAGCAGCTACTCAACCGTTTCACAATTGCAAAAATTGCAATTTTTGCGTAATAATCATGCCTAACTGTCATGTGTCATCTTGGGGTTATTTTGATTTTTTCCTGCGACTCCGCTCCAGTGTACTGATTTCCAAAAAAATATTGTATCAGCGCCTATTATCACCTTACAGTATTACTGCAACTTCTAATTCCAGATTTCAAATTGTTGAGATCATGGATTGACAAGAAAACTAGAGACTGTCAGTACCGAAGTTGCTGAGATCACGCACTGAGAAAAAAGCTACAGACTATTAGGTCACAAATTGCTGAGATCAGGCAATGATAAAAGGGTTCCAGACTGCCTGGACTCAAATTTCTGAGATGGCGAGGTGATACAATAGCTACAGGCTAACATACCCGAATTGCTGAAATCACGCAGTGATAAACTACAGACTGTCAGGACCTAATCTAATAAGACCATGATAAAAAGCTACGGCCTGCCATGTCTCAAAGTGCTGATTTAACGAGGTGATAAAAAAGCTACGGACTTACAGATCCCACATTGCTGAAATCACGCAGTGATGAAAAACTACATACTGCCAGATCCCAAATTGCTGAGATGACGCAGTAATAATAAAGCTACAGATTGTAATGGTCAAGAACACAATATTGCGTCCCTTAACATTCCTTTACATTTGAGTAGCGCTCCTCCAAAATGGATTTTACTATTGATATGTCAAGTGATTAGTCGCAAAGCAAGCGTTCAACTATAGTTGCTTACGAACTACCGATTTTCTCACCTGAGTTAAAATTAGCTTCTGACCTAGTTAAGTAGTTGATCGTACGCACGATTTCAAGAGGAGCATACCATACCTGTCAACTGTCAAAGAGCGAATAATAAGATAATAATCAGTGTATACGTTTTGATGTATTAGACGTTGTAGTTGTATTTTTCTCCTAAATAGAGACTGGGAAGTTATCTACAAACATTAAAGATAACTTACCTCAATTTTGAACGTCAAACATTCAAAAACGACGTGTTTGGCACCAGCTAAGATATCTCAGACGAAAATCCGTCTTAACAGCGGGAAGGGGGGAGGTAAGATTATAACTAACTTGTGTCGAATCGTAAGCGTCACTCAGTTAGTTTTATTTAGATTAGTTCAGAATGTGTGCTGTACGTAAACAACTTATATCACCTTCTTTTTCACGCTTCCTAAATAAGGGCATGCCAGTTAGTCGTAAAGAGCAAACAGACATCCATATCTTTGAAAATATAGAAGTTTGCGATAACAATACACCTCTGCTGATATGTGGGTGGTGAAGTGTTTCATCTGACATTCGAAATTTCCGTGAACAAAACAGTAACTTGTTTACGATGACGTCAGCATTAACAAGCGACGGTGTGTGGGTGATACAAACATTCCATCCCTCTCAAGCACATTCTTCTGCCTCTCCCTTGTTGGGAACCGATTAGCGTGACAGTCGTTGCACTGAACGTGGCTGATAGGTCAAATTAAAGTATACGGATTACTAACAGTAGGTTCACTAGGAGATCGAATCAGTTCAACTTCCGACTGGGGATTGCATTCCCGCAGCTCGTTCATTCCCGACGGAGTGGATAGGAGTTCATCAATACCGCCTTGGATCCCTCAGGATCCTTCACTCTTGAAAGCTTAACTGCTTTTTCGTCTATATGATGGTTGTATCTTTGTGTCGAAATCTTCAGGCGACCCTTTCCATGACAGCGACAATAATTATTAATTTTCTCACAAATACTGTTCGCTAACTGGATCGATTTTTAAAAACATGAAAATGATTGTTCTCACTATGCTACTCCTTAGTCCACAGATAACAGCACATTAGTCATCAGTCACCAAATATATAATATTGACTTCGTCGTCCAATTGACTCAGATGATGTCACCGTAGAAGGTAAAAGACTGAGTACGATGAGGGGAATACTCTTGATACACTACTCGAATATAGTATGGTCTAGCACCAAAACGGAAGTCAGTTAAAAAGCATAGCTTCCGCCAGTGTTGACGCTGATTTTGCTGATTCAAAGGCACGTCCCGATATCAGTAGCGTATCGATGTGTTATGCAACTTTTCCCCGTTTCCCAGCTGGGACTGAGAGGCTCACTGCTGACAATTTTGCTAGGCATTAAACGAGGTCAAATGGGTTGATATAAAACCTCTTGTGGGGAGGATGATGCTGAGTAAGGTACTTGATGATGAAAACAGACTAAGGAACTAGTGGTTACTTAGTAACAGATATTTCTATATCTCGAATCGCAGCTGTTACCAAATACCATAAAAAAGCGTGACGTGATCACGACTTCGGGAACTAGGTGCTTCCCGGGACTATCCCGCTGCCCTCCTTAGTTAAAACGTCCTAATTACCAATTTATTAAAATTTGTAATTTAACGCTAGGACGTTCTGTGTTTGGAAGCTGGTAATATTTGAAGATAGGACAATATATTCAGTAATTATGGTAGGTACACAGTGCAGTCAGGATGTTCCAACTTGGAAGAATTGATAAGTAATGCATACAATATAATATATTTAAGAAAATGTAGTTAGGCCGTTCTGTGTTTGAATATGCGTCAGATGTGCATGCGCGATAGCCGCTAAGGTCAAGAATCATATACCACCGTAAGACTGCTATGGCCTATAATCGATATCGTGCCTTATACAGGGTGATTCACAGGTCGTAACCAAATATGAAATATCATACACAGGACCGCATTTTAAGGGGGTCTTCTATGTAACATTTTTTCCTCGATGGCTTCATTAAAAAGCTATGGGGTTTTGAAGTTTAAAAATAAAAGCATTTTGTTAATATCTTCAAAACCGTCAACTGGAATGAACTAAAATTTGGTATGTGGATTCATCTAAGTATTTTCTACATTCAAAAGTCTTTACTTAAAATTAACGTGCACCAGTGGCGGACGTTCAGAGGATCAGTGACATTATTTTTCCAAATAAAAATAGTATCTGTTTTTTTTTTTCGAAACGCGTGATTTTTCGAATTTTATCCTCAATTTTCTTAGAGTGCACTGTTTTCGTAAAAATAAAAATAAAACAAGCTAGATCATTCATGAAGTACCGAGATACAATTAATTTCAAAATAAAATAGGAGGCCTTGACACCAACTTGACGTTTCTTGGGACATAGTTTGTCAAAATTTTGAGTTATACGGTTGTTATCATTACTACTACTACATTTTTTTTTTGTTAAAGTTAAGTCAAAAGTCCATTTTTTCTACTTTCGAGTTTTGTGAAATGGAATTTAGCAATGATGAGTACGCCGATATTATTTTTGTGTACGGGTTCTGTAATGGAAATGCTTTAGCGGCTTGTCGGGAGTATCAACGTAGATTTCCTAACAGGCGCCAACCTACCCGATAGGTTTTCACGCGTTCATTTCTAAGACTTCGGCATTATGGAATACGAAACTTCACGGAGTTAGAGGTATACTGTTTAAGAGGAACTGGAAGTGGTTAATTTGACGTTGGACGATCCTAGTACAAGAACTAGGTGGATTGCAGCCCAGTTACCATATTCCCAAAGTCTTGCGTGGAGAAGTTTAAATTGAAAAGTTTTACATCCTTACCATCGGCAAAATGTGCAATGTCTGCAACCCGGCGACGAAGTGCAACGGCCAAATTTTTGTGAGTGGTTACTGCAAATGTATAATCAAAATGCAGATTTTATTGATTTGGTTTTGTGGTCAGATGGATCGCTTTTCTGAGGAGTGGAACCTTTAATTCTCATGGTAAATATATTTGGTCGTTAGAAAATCCCTGTTCTGTAAGAATCCACTGGGTTTCAACACAGATTTTCTAGAATTGTCTGGTGCGGCATTTTCAATGGCGAACTGTATAGCCACACCGTTTAAATACAAACTCATACTTAGCTTTCCTAGAGAATTACATAGAAAATGTGTTAGATGATGTTCCGTTAGCATCGAGAGCACGACGGTCCCCACCGCATGTTCGTCGTGACATAACCTCATGGTTAAATAATCATTTTAGACAACGATGCACTGGCAGAAATTGACTCACACATTGGCCTGCGAGATCTCCTGATTTAAACCACCTGGATTTCTTTTTGTGAGGCGCTTTTAAACAACTAGTATATGCTGAATTAATACAAGAAAGAATAGATAATGCGTTTCATCAAATTCAAGCCACAACAAATTTTGCGGAAGTAGGTTTTTCTTTATTAAAAAGATGCCGCACTTGTATCCGTCAGCATGGTGGTCTTTTTGAACAGTTACTGAAATAGAACTTTGATTATGTAGTTTGTTTTTTCATTTTTACGAAAACAATGCAGTCTATGAAAAAAGCACATGTGTAATTATTATTAGTACCAAATTAAAGGCAACATTAAAAAAATTGCGTGTTTCGAAAAAAACAGTGGCGTACTATTTTTATTTGGAAAAATGATGCCACTAGTCCCCTGTATTTCCGCCACTGGTGCATGCAGCAGCGGTGGCCGCACTAGTAGACTGTTCGGTCTCCTGATCAGTCGCCGTGCGCTGTGCGGGTTTGAGTCCCGTCCCAGGAGAAATTTTTCTCTTGGCTATGGATGTTGTGATTGTCCGTAGGTGGTAGACGGTCTCTGACTGTCGAACGCGGAGGTACCACCCGGCAGATCTCGTAGGCGGAGCCAGAATGTGTGCATGTTGCATGGACACGTTTCCCCTCGCCAGAGTCCGTGTGGCGTTCCCCCCCTTTTCCCATGTATCCCCCTATAGCCCCACGGTACCCAATGGGTGCTTAGGCCTTAGGCGTTCGTGGTAGTTGGAGTATAAAAAAAATGTTAATTTTAAGCAAAGACTTTTGATTGTGAACAATAGTTAGGTAAGTCCGGTTTTGAAGATATTGAAAAAACTGTTTTTTATTTTTAAACTTCAACACCCCGTATCTTTTTAATGAAACCGTCGAGGAAAAAATGTTACATAGAAGACGCCCTCAAAATGCGTTTCTGTGTGTTTGGTCACGACTTCTGAATCACCCTGTATACTTTGGTAGTTGGCTCCATGCGATTTCGTGATCTCGTCACGGCTTTAAATCATTGATATCAAAAAGTAACTATATAAGATACACAGATATCCTAGGATAACGATATCGGCCATCTCTATAAGGAACCGACAAAAGCTTTCTAATTGCTGAGATAACTAATAACTTTGGCATAAATAAATGCCGCGTTCCTGGAGAATTTCACACTTCCTCAGAGGTATTAGGTGTTTTATGACATTATGTAGGTTCCCCTACAACATGTTAACTAGAAACTAGCTGTCGTTCACTCCAACAAGTTGACATTTTATCGTTTTTTTTTTTGACAGATAGGTTTTCTACGTAATAACCTTGTGGACAGGAAAGACTGACCTCGCGACCATTGTACATCCATGCTGCCTGAGGCAGGTTATAGGTGCTTCCATCTGTCTAAAAATTGCGTGAAGTA